TTATCTTTCTCAACAAGGAGCTGGTAGCATCATTGTTTCTAAAGGAATTAAAGCCACAGCTTTACTGTTAATAGAGAAACGCGGCAAAACGGTGGTAATTCATACATACACAGCCTCTCTCTCTCTGTGTGTGTCGTAAATGAACAGTTGATGAATCACACTTTTCTGAGAATAGAATATTGAAGTGGAGATCGCTAAACTGCAAGCTAACCGGTGTTTTCAGAAAGCAAGCACATTTATCCACAATGTAGAGAGCGCGCGTGCTCATGGTTGCCAGGTTGAAAAAGATAAGTAACACGTTTAGCAGATATTTCTGTATTGCGCAAGTGTAAAGCTCTGTTTTGGGGATTACGTCTCTTTATATGAGGCAACCCAGTTGTGTTCCTCTGCGGCCAGATTAAACCATGTTGTAGCCTATATATGCTCTATTCATTCTTTTTTAGAAACCTTTTCTACTCAATTTTAAACGTTGTAAAATTTTAAACAACTTAAGCGTGGTCCACTGCTGCACACGTGCCACAATATCGATACAGGGCCAGCTGTATCGATACTCGTATCGTCAAAAGTGGAGATCGCTAAACTGCAAGCTAACCGGTGTTTTCAGAAAGCAAGCACATTTATCCACAATGTAGAGAGCGCGCGTGCTCATGGTTGCCAGGTTGAAAAAGATAAGTAACACGTTTAGCAGATATTTCTGTATTGCGCAAGTGTAAAGCTCTGTTTTGGGGATTACGTCTCTTTATATGAGGCAACCCAGTTGTGTTCCTCTGCGGCCAGATTAAACCATGTTGTAGCCTATATATGCTCTATTCATTCTTTTTTAGAAACCTTTTCTACTCAATTTTAAACGTTGTAAAATTTTAAACAACTTAAGCGTGGTCCACTGCTGCACACGTGCCACAATATCGATACAGGGCCAGCTGTATCGATACTCGTATCGTCAAATCTCCGTGACGATATATCGTCGTATCGATATTTTGAACACAGCACTAGTAGAGAGGTTTACAAAAAGGGGTTCGAGTTACTAATAATCAACATTTAACCTGGTAAAAAATATTTATTTATTGTTATCCGTGTTATATTTCATCTGCAACAGTAATGTGAACTTTTATAAACATCCATTTGGTCGTTAACGTTTAAATGCACCATTATGCAGAAAATATGAGCAGAGTTCTAAGCATTAAAGACCCGTGACTGGCAGATCAACAAGCTACTTCTTTTCTCTCTAGTACGGTAGGAAGTTAAATGAAATGAAATGTGGAGGATGTTAACTGTGACAAGATGACTGACAGGCCAGTTTACAGTGACAGGGTGCGTGTAACAGGTGCGACAGAGCGGTCCTTTAAAGACAGTTGTGTGACGTGATAGTATGTCCCAAAGCTTGCCTACTCTTCTACTACACACTCAAAAGTGTATACTTTTTCTTCACCAAAAGAGTACATACTTTAAGGGTGTAGTATAAGTAGGCACATTGAGATGCAGCATCAGTGTTTCGAGTCTGAATGGCGGTTGCACACCGGACGAGAAGCGCCGCGCCGCGCCTAGAACAACTCGTACAACATGACTTATCTGAGCGCCACGGACAGATGCCGAAAACACATTCTTTTCTATGAGTGTATGCACATCGGCGGCACCGTTCGGCGTCTGTCTGCGGCGCCCAGATAAGTCATGTTGTACGAATTGTTCTAGACGCGGCGCTGCGCTTCTCATCATATGTATGACCACCTTTATGCTTAAACGCTCTTTCTGGAGCCTCGTAATAGATTTTGTAGTGTCCGGTTGAGTTGAGTGATCCAATGACTCGCTTAGAATATAAAAACTTGTCGCCACCTAATGGCGTGACAAATAATCTCAGTGAGTCAAGTCAGTGAACAAATCATTTAGGTGAACAGATTCAAATCACTGAGTTGAATCAATAAACAAACAATCCACACTGCGTGAAAAAAAAGAACTCTCTAGTATCAAATATATTCTATATATTATTATACAGAATTAATTATATATATATATATATATTTCTGAATGACCACCTTTATGCTTAAACGCTCTTTCTGGAGCCTCGTAATAGATTTTGTAGTGTCCGGTTGAGTTGAGTGATCCAATGACTCGCTTAGAATATAAAAACTTGTCGCCACCTAATGGCGTGACAAATAATCTCAGTGAGTCAAGTCAGTGAACAAATCATTTAGGTGAACAGATTCAAATCACTGAGTTGAATCAATAAACAAACAATCCACACTGCGTGAAAAAAAAAGAACTCTCTAGTATCAAATATATTCTATATATTATTATACAGAATTAATTATATATATATATTTTTCTGAAAAAACGGACAATTCTTAATTATGTAAAAATGAATTATTTCGCTGTTTTATATATCTATTAATTTGAAGAAGTTTATAGGTTTAAATGTTTTGTAGTTTCAACAAGGTTGATCTTATCCATAAAGCCCCTGGTGGTTGGGAATCACACAGTGATCCAGGTAAGCAAGTGTGTACTGACTATGTAGAACTGCAAATAGTTTCGTCCAACCACAACAGTGCACATGGGGAATATTGTCTGACTCAATCTCAACCCTGATGAGTTAAAAACGGGAGCAGAGAAACAGAGCTGGTTGACTCATCATCAGGATGTGAACTTCAGACTTACTGATCTCCACAGTTTTCTTCTGCTACCATGCACCAGACCCAATACAAATCTTCAAATGAACCGAAACCAGGCGGCCGAGAATCACACGACCTTCAACCGTACACTAACTAACTTATAAGAATAAAACATGCATGCTTTTTTTTCTGCGTGACAAAAAAAAGAACACAGAAAACTATTGCATCGACTGTAAAAGCATGCACGCCTGCATGAAAAGTCACTTTACAGCCATGCCCGCTTCTATCTATTCAAACTTCTATCAAGAGTCTATCAGTGCAGTTACTTAATTATATAAATCATAGCCACTGCGATTCTTTGAACGGACTCCCTCCCCATTTGAAGACATGCAACAACATCATCAGGGCATGCTGGGAAACTTGCGCACTGCCAAAACTTCTCTCGGCGACTCAGACAAGTTTTCACGCTAGCTGTAATCAAACATAACATGCACAAAACACACTATTACTCTGTTACTCTTTCGTATGCATGATTAAGTCCGTCAGATCAGTGCAGCTGTGAGTTGTTACGCACTACACTGCTGCAGATTTGGAATCTGGTCACATTCAAACACATCTCGGGCTGAGATTACCGCTTTGATTTCTCTCCAATCCCGCGGACAAAACGCGCCAGAAAGTGCAGATATTCCTCCTCTGGCAGCCCGAAATCCCATTCGCGATGTGTACGAGAGTTTCTGGGGATTTTACAGCTCAGGCGGTGCAGAAATGCAGTCAGTGAACGTCGCCATTTTTTCACCCTTTCCCGCGAATCATTTACGTTTTGCTTATGTAATTAACATAACCCGATCATCATCATCATCATCATCCGCGTACAGGAAGTACAGCAGCAGCGCTCTCGCCTCGAGGAGGGGCTACAGAAGCACTGCTCCAAAGACAAAAAGACATTAAATGCTCTGAGAGTACCTACAACATGCAGGGGAAAAGACTGTAGTGCAAGTCAGAGTTGAAACTCATGCTGAGTGTGAAAGAGGACAACTGACAATATACACTAGATTTATCCATACAAAGATAAAAATTACAGAATAAAGTTATTAAACTTTCATATAGCCTAGCTATTAGATTATTCTGTTATACATGCAATGTAGAACTATAGAAAGATAGATAGATGATAGACAGATAGATTATATACAGTAGTTACAGTGTGTGTGTGTGTGTGTATATATATAGCCTACATACATACAGTGTAGGCTATACAGGTGCATCTCAATAAATTAGAATCAGGTGTTTTGAGTTGATTAGCTGATTGGCATGTCACCATATTCTAATTTGTTGAGATAGTGAATTGGTGGGTTTTTGTGAAATGTGAGCCAAAATCATCACAATTAAAAAAAATGTGTTTAGGAGTGTTGCCACCCGCTGTAAGTTTTGGTTTAGTAGTTAGAGTAGTTAAGTTAGAGCGTGCGAGTAGCACACTGAAGATGTTGTTTTGAATTTTATTTTGATTATTCTAGGCTAGATTTAAATTCTTTAGTTAGAAGGATTTTGTTTTAATTTGTTCTTTGATTTGGCAACACTCGTGCTCTCTTCATTACTTCATGTGGTGAGTTTTGTTAATATTTAAGTCTTTTTCTTTTTGTTTGTTAACTGGAAATATATATATACTTTTCCCTTTTGGATGTATTTAAAGCCTATATTTCTTGGTGTATTGGTTGGAGTTGAAATGAATAAATGTCTTTTCTCTGTTTGAACTTGTAGCGTTCTCCTCTTCATGACTTGCCCACCATTTGATATGCACTATTAAGATCTATACTAAATGTTATTATAGAGGTTTATGAATGTTACCTTCCCTTAATATTCCTAGACAAATCAAACAAGTTTTGGGTCGTAACAAGAACCAAAGACTTAAACTACTTCAGTCTGTGTGCATTGAATTTATTTAATACACGAGTTTCACAATTTGAGTTGAATTACTGAAATTAACTTTTCCACGACATTCAAATTTATTGAGATGCACCTGTACAGTAGTTCTATAAAGATAGATAAATATCTGAATTCATGAAATTAATATACTTATGCTAACAGATCTGTGCTTAATCTATATTCAAAATGAATATTTATGAATCAAATGTAATGTCAGTTTTACTGTTTTTCATCACTGATACTTTGAGCATGATATAATGTTTGTTAAAGTTATTTTTGGAAGTTATAAAAAGTGTAATGGTTTTGATGAGTGGATGACATGAGAGAATGAGCTGTCAGCATATATGTCTTCAGTAAAGGTTTGCTGGCAGTGCAACTGTCACAATGCAGTTACATTTTTAACACAATGGGTCATACTTGCTGGCATAACAGTAATATTCTTAGATTTCTGTGAAATTTGGACATTGTATTTCAGGTAGACATCACAAGGTTATGGCGAGCTGACTAAAAAAAAAATGTTATGTCGCCGAACAAAACTAACCATATACACTGGGGGCTACGAATTCCACATGACTAAGAGTAATTAGTTATTTGATGCAGGGTGATGATTTTTACTTATTGTAAAACGTGACCCTTTCAGCTGTGAGAAACCACCTGTTCTTTTCTCATCTCTCATTCGGTTATATTTTTTGCACACATTCCTGTAAGTGCTAACTTGAAGGTAACATATTGTACAACAAAAGTGTAATTTTTTACACTTTTTATTAATAAAAAGTTATGTTCATTAAGTTATGAAGTGATTTTGCACAGTAGCCAGTATGCATATAATGCGTTGGTTCAGCAAAATTTCCATTGTTTATATAAAAGGAAATAACCGTTCACATGCAAAAATTGTGGTAAGCATCGGATGTTCTATGAAAAAATTATGAATCTTCATAATCTTCTGCAAAATAATCCATAACATTTCCTGCAGTGATTAAGCCAATTCCTTAATAATGGATTTGTTTCTTATAAACATGCAACTTTTTGCTTCACAAGACATTAATTTATGGACTGGAATTACGTGAATTACTTGTGGATTATTGTGATGTTTTTATCAGCTGTTTGGACTCTCATTCTGACGGCACCCATTCACTGCAGAGGATCCATTAGTGAGCAAGTGATGTAATGCTAAATTTTTCCAAATCTGTTCTGTTTAAACTCATCTACATCTTGAATGGCCTGAGGGTGAGTACGTATTTAGTTGAACCATTTCTTTAAATTAAAATCGTAAATGCTAATAATATTGATTGTTCTAAATTTTAAAGAGATAAATCACAAATCATCATTTATCTGCAATGTCGAGACACGTATATGCAGATAAACTATGCTATGAGGAAACACAAAACAAGGTAGTAAACACATTTTATTTATTATTACATATAAAATATGAAAACTGTCAGCATGATGTTCAAAATCCAAAAGAGTTCATTCCATAATAAATAAAACACAAATATATCCAAAATAACACAAGAAAAAAATCAATGTTTAAAACATTAAGAGCCAGGTGTCAATCTAAAAAATATTATTTCATTCATGTACCCAAAGAACCAAAATGCAACCAAGACATTTTTCAGTTCATAAATATTTCCACGTTTGTTTCTTTGCACTCCATGTTCATTTTGTCCAGATCCAGAATTGTTATGCTCCCTTAGGAATCCAGTCATCCTTAACAGCCAGGCCTTCATGCTTCAGGTGGAGGTGTCCACCACGCATTTGATATAGATGGTGTCATCCTTGCAGTAGGCGTGCTTAGGCGACCTCAATTTCCCCAGAGGGAAGAACAGGGGGCACCCGCTGGCCACATTCATATCTGAGGTGGGGCGGTGGAAAGATGCAGAGGAGAGGTCGGGTCGGAAAGCGTCGATGACGTGCTCCCTCTGGTTCTGATCTATGAGAAAGAACGTGACCTGCCAGGTACGTGCAGGAGATGTCAATGACACATTATTGAGGAACCAAAGCTGGTTCATTACAACAGAAGCCACTATTAAAGGGGTCACATCATACATTTATTATTTAATTCTTTGTAATGCGGTGCACTTAGTACGTTTTTTTTTTTTGCACTATAAACAGCTGTAATTTAGTTTTTCATGACCATTTTACATTCTCTCTAACACTTTGAATGTGTTGCTTTTTGCTGTGCTGCTATTTATAATTCTATATGCTTTCTTCAATGTGAAATTTAACTGCCTTATCCTTCAATAGCAGAATCAGTAAGCAATCTACACTAATATGTGTCACTCAAACTGCTAAAATCAGATTGAAATGCATTTACTTTTTTTCTTTAATTTGGCTCAAAAAGTGTTAACATCTATAAACCAGACATTTATTTTCTTTAATCTATAAACCTAGACCTTTCTGCTTTTTCAAATTTTTTTATTAGGTGTACTAAACACGCACACATGAGATGGTAATGCCCTTCAGTGTACCCTTCTGAGTGCTCACTTCAAGTGTTCGGCACTCTTGAGTAGAACATGATGCTCATTTTACAATGATAATCACTGCAAGACAGAAGCAGGACAGTTCAACGTGTGAACAGCATTTTAAGCAATTTATTAAAGTATTTACTAATATTATGAATTAACTTGTATTTTTTTAGTTTGTATTTTAATTTTGGTTTAAGTTTTCATAATTTTGTCTTTTTAATAGATTTTTTTAATGATCTATTCAGCTTATCAATTTGTATTTACTTTTACTCATTTAAAACTTATTTTATTGTTGTAAAGGCAACATTTCAAATGTTCATTTAAGGTTTTTTTTAAGTTTATGTTTTTCCATCTATTTATATTTTATGTATATATTTATATATTTTATTTGAACTTTATTTCAATAATTTTGATATATTTCAGTTTTAGTTAATAATATGACCTAGATTACACAATATAGGCTTTCGAAGAAAAGTAAAACAAAATTGCCAGCTATTGCAAGTAATGCAGTCATCAGTTGAATTTGTATTCATTCTTGTAAACTCAGAATTCAAATAATTAACAAATTGTCTTGCTGGAATGGAAAGGAGTCCTACATTCGAGTTCAACGTATAAAGTATAATTTCATAATACATCAAAGCTTTTTTTATTTCAAAAGATCAAAGATAATTTGATTTCTCATAATGACTCATTTAATGTATGAATTCAGCATGTAAGCGTCATTAGCTAAGAGACAACACCAATGTGCATAAAATGATTGATCGGTTCACTGATTGACAGCTTGATTAGTGTTTTACCTTATATCTGAATGGCCATGGAAGAATGGGGTCGTATTCTCCTTTCATTATAACAAAGAAAAGAGAGATGTGCGTTCCCTTTCCAACCCCATCTCCATTCAAGTAGAGCCGCATGCACACTTTAAATCCATACCTTGCGGTGTAGAATGCTGAAAAACACAATGCATTGTCATTTTTATGTGAAGCTTGATGGGCTTTAGTTAAAACTCTTAAAAATAGCAGCAGATAACCAGAGAGCTTCTTTCATCTCGAAACTCAAATGCATGGCTTCCTTTTGCTGACTGCTGTATTGGAAGAACAGTTATTCTGATATCCTGTTCTAAAATGATGTGAAAGAAAACAAGTCAATGAAATTACCTTCAATTGTTCTCTTTCAGTCGTTCTCTTTCTCGGTCTTGCGGTCTATTATGGTTGTGTTCACGCAGACACATGACTACTGGGCAAACAACCCCATTTCAGTCTTTGTAACTGCTGCACATTTGCTTTATTCATTTTCCCTTTCCCTGGTACCAACTCATTTTTTTTTAGCACTGGTCTTATGAACGAGCATCGATTCTACTTCGATATACGACAACAACTAACATTCATTCACCACAGCTCTCCTGATGAGTCCAGTCCAATGCATTAAAGTATTCAGTGCTGGCAAAACTGTTTTTGCTTCAGCACAAAAGTGAGAAGTGATTGTCAATAATATATTGATTGTCAACTGAAACTGCAAATGGAACAAGCTTAGAAAAATAAGGCTCAGGGGACCGAGATTTTTCTGAATCACAAGGTAAATGTAGACCTGTTCCCCACACAAACTCTCATATGATTTCGAGTATGATACACAGATCATATGGACAGTCCTTAGTCACCATCTACCTTCATTACATGTAGCACAACTAGTATAGCCCTAAACAAATGATTCCTTTAAACCGGTTCTTTTTATTGAACCAAAAACACACCGAGTGACCAGTCTTACGAGCCAGTTCTTTTAATGAATCACTTAAGAAGACTCACTCACTCAGAAAATTGCCATTGCTTAATGAACTCACTGAAGAGTGTTTACTGAATCAATAGAAAATCAGCATTATCTTTTAGTGTTGGAATATTTTAATAAGACAGATAGATTATATATATTAGATAGATAGATAGCTATTTTGAAAGAAAGCTTCTGTCTTGGTACATAACAAAAATAATACAGATAATATAGATAAATACATATAAGTTAGATAATGTATTTTTTTTTAGATATTTAAAAAATTGATGAATCATTGAATGTATGCACACACACACGAGTGTGTGCATTAGGGTTTGATGACTTTCATTTTTTAAAGTCGACATATATGTGATGAAACTCGAGTCGACGTCGACTAGTCGCTTATGACGTCATTAATGAACAAATAAGCCTGAACCTTGAGCTGAGACTCGAACACCCTGTGCACAGCTATGGCATATGACACAGCGCTGCCCATATGGCTACCGCTCCTATAACAGCTCATTTTTATCAGTTCTTTTGTCTTTGGGTTGTTTTATTTCTCACAAATTTCTGCTTGTCCTAAATCAGATACAGATAAAGAAGCACAGTAAAGATTATATTTATATGAATGCATTAGTGAGAGTGTTTGCGTGTGAATTAATTCTGCCTGGCAGCATCTCTCTACTAATAGTGAAGCTGTGGGTTTTAGTTACTAAGAAATATATGCTAGAACCTTTCAGTTTCTAAGCTATTTTATTGAGAAATCACAGAACAGTGTTGACAACATTGCTGCACTACTGAATGATTCTGTGTGCGCGTGACGTGTGCGTGATGTACGAACTGCTGTCTGTAGCCTGTGTGTGTACGTTACAATGCAGCGGCACATTAGATTAGAACGGCCATTAACTTACCTGTACAATAAGCTGTTTAAAACGTGCATTCTCTTGTTCAATTTTGGTATAATCACCTTGTGGAGCGCTTTCGGAGAATGCATTTATTTGTCATTTTAACTGTTTTGAAACTGAGCTTAAATGTGGACTTTAAAGATTGCTTTTCCTGTTGCACCTTCTATAGGACCAGCAACTAGTCAGCATCAAGCTTAAAGAGTCATGGCAGAGCATTAAAGTCAACTAGTCTGTGCAACCCCTACTGTGTATGTATGTACTGTATGTATGTATGTATGTATATATATAAATATATATTATATATATATATGTATATGTGTATATATCTAATCTATAGAATGTTATCAATCAAGAATATATCTCTTATTTTTATAGCACACCGAAACTGTAAATATCAAAAACATAAAAGAAACGTTCTATCTTGGTATGTTACAATATATATATATTACTCTGCCATCATTTACCTTCATGCCATTCTAGACATTTATGACTGACTTTCTTCTTTCCAGATTCAAGTTGAAGAAAAAAGAAAGTCTAGTTAAGAGAGTTAAAGAAGAAAGTCTATATATGAAAGGAAGAAAGTCAGTCATACAGGTCTAGAATGGCATGAGGGTAAATGATGACAGAATGTTTTTTTAGATAACTCTTCCTTTCAGAGCAGTACAGGAGAGATATCAGCTTTGGTACCTGACGAGTACTGACTGATCTTTTGGCCACTGGCAGCCTCTCTCAGTCTCTGGCTGACATCACACAACCGCCAGAGAAAGGTGCCATCATATGAGACGTCCTGCTGGGCGCTGATACACTGCTGCAATGAAGTGATGTGAATGTCTTTCCCGACTAGTCTCTGCTGCTGTTCCGCTACCTAGAATGTGATGGAAAACCATTATAATGGATGAATCACCCAAAGGTACAGATTGGCTCACTGCAAAAGTGCAATATTAATGTATCATTATGGACCTTCAGAGCTGGTTAAGGTTGGCAGCCTTGTGTGAGACACTTCAAAATACAGGAAAGGAACGAGATGGTGGCATCCTATCCTTTTTTTTTCTCGAGTTGTCACACAAATCTATGTTCTACCACTCATTCCCCTCTCATCCTTACTTCAACTTATCTCTTCATTTTCAGCATTTCAGGAGTGTCATCTCAGCTCCCACGTGTTAAATAACCCCTCCAGGTCGAGCGTCAGAACACAGCCGTAATTATTTGTTATCACCTCCCAGTGTTAAAATGAGCACAGGGACAAATAAATTAGCATTTCAGACCTCCCCAAAAGAATACCTTTGTTAGTTTTATGTCAGTCCTTATTTAAAGCATGAATTATGCAACCCAGCGGCTACAAATAAAAACACATCTCAGGAAACAAATGTTCTGCAGAGATTTCTATATAGCATTTCAGCTCTTTTGTAACACAAACGCATTCATTAGCTCCAACCATAATGCAGATTCACAGCGTGAGCCTAGTTAAGTGCAGGACACATCAAAGTAATGAAATCTGTTGTTGCTATTTACACACAGGATGGAAATAATGTGATATCAGGGTTGTGCACCATTGAATTCCTGACATCTGAAATGGGGCAGCAGGATGCACAATTGCAATTTGATTTTAATTTAGATAGAATTAAAATAAAATGAAATTCATATAACTGCTGTTAAGTGTCGTTTTTAATAATGCTATATCTTCAGTAGGAATTAACCATAAACTTGTTATCATACACACAACATGCAAGGTATTTCAAGAAACATTAGATTAAATTAATTATGTTTAATTGATGTTTGAAAGGCCACAATTTGCATTTGATTGATTAATTTTATTTAATAAATTAACTTAAATTAACTATATTTCATTATAATTTCATTCACATTTTGAATATTGGAGACAATGTGATGGATTTATGGATATTTTTTGGTGCTGTATTAAATACTGTGAATTATTTAGATAATGTTAAATTAGTTTTAAGAAATACACTATTGCTCAAAAGTTTGGGGTCAGAAAGGTTTTTTTTTTTTAATTAATACCTTTTTTTTTCCAAGAAGGATGCATTAAATTGATCAAAAGTGATGGTAAAAACATTTCAAATAAATGCTGTTCTTTGGAAATGTCTATTCATTAAAGAATCCTGAAATGAATTATCACAGTTTCCATAATTATATAAACAGTAGTAGAACACAGTAGAACAGTATATGCCTATTAAGTTAGGAAAAAATGTTTCTACATAACACAGAATAAACAAACTGGCATAATTATTTTTAATTCAATGTAATTATTTACGTTTTGTTGTCAAACATGTGTTTGACTGCAATTCTGTAAATATTTCTTCCTGTTATTCCAATTCAATTTACATTCCAAACATTTAATTCAAAGCCAATTCCATAATACATTTTTATGTATGTATGGACAGAACATTCTCACAAATCTATTAGTTTGAGACCATCACCAGATTATTTCAAAAGAAATTCAAGAAGGAATCAGAATTTTTTTTCTTTCTAAACCATCCTGACAAGGCATGCAACTGCACTGTAATTCTAATGTTCAAACTGGTGGACACGATTGACAGGATATTAACAGATAATTTGCATGTGAGCATCAGTGTGGCAGCACCACCGCTATGTAATTTCATAATCCTTTCGGCCTCTAAACGTTCCCTAGATCCCTAGAAAATCAGCTTTCTTCAAAAAAAAAACTCATAATATTGGCATTTTAAAACTGACCCCTGTTTACAAAACCACTTCATTCCATTTAAAGTTGAAATTCCCATACCATTAGTGTCATGAAACAGATTTTTTACCTTGGTTTCCAAGTGCTGAATGAGCTGCTGACTGTTGTAATCGTCCCTCTCCAGCACGACCACACTGAACTGTGTCTTTTCCACCTCTCGGTTCAAAGCTGAGATGATGTTCTCCATAACCTGCACCCTCTGCTGTAGGATGTCCAATTGCTGGCCTACAGCAAGTTCAGCCTGATCGTCGTGGAGACTGAGGGCCTTATCACTCACTCCTGGGTCTCCTCCGTCCGTCTCAATCTCACCCTCACTCTGAGAAGTGAGGGAAGCACCACACTGTCCAGGCTGAAGAAGATCAGGGCTTTCATGGTGGCCTCGCTCAGGTGGGGAATTCAGGGTACGCTGAAGAGCCCTGGTCACATCCAAGAGAAGCTGTAGATGGCCAACATGGCTGCAGGATTCATGTTCTTTTAATTTGTCTGTATTGCCCTGAAATAAAATGTTGCAGCAAAACGGTATCATTTAGTTATAAAATTCATGTTCTTTTAATTTGTCTGTATTGCCCTGAAATAAAATGTTGCAGCAAAACGGTATCATTCAGTTATAAAATAATTAGTGCTGTCAAACGATTCTAACACAAATTAACTTTTAGAAATAAAAAATGTTTTAGTATTCTTTTTAAATAAACCTATAGGCTATATGTAAATATATAAACTATATAAATATTACATAAATTATAAAACTATATACATTTTTTATTTGTTACTCTTAAAATACTTTTAATATTTTAATTAAAAATGTATCCTCTCAGTGGACCTCCAAGAACCACATTTAAAATAAATAAATAAATATGACTCAAGTATCTAAATGTTTCTGCTGAATATAAAACTCTATATAAAACTATATAATACATCATGATTAACATACAAACAGGTGCTGTTGTTAAAAGACCAACCTTAAAAGGACAACCAACTTCTGAGAAAATGCATGGCTCTTTCTTTTTTGAGCTGCCCGGGTGATTATTCTACAAAGGAAACACAGAAACACACTTTAGAATTGTTATCAAAATACATACTGTATGTGTGTGTATTTATGTATACATAATAAATATACACAGAACACATATATTATGCAAACAAAAACTTTTATTTTGTATGCGATTCATCGCAAGTAATCGTTTGACAGCACTAAAAATAATACTTTCCCCACTACAATAACAAGATTTACTTAAGTACAATTGTAATGAGATTTGTTTTTTTTAGAGAATTTACTCATTTATTTATTTATTTGGTTACACCATTGACAAAGTTTGTTTGTTTATTTTTAAGCAAAAAACATACAGAAAAGTATGCTTATTATAATAAAGTATAATACAGGGGTTTTCAAACTTTTTTAATTCTATGAATTTGTGAAAATAATAATTCCCTTTAAATTTATAACATATCCTTTTTCTGCTAATATCAGAATATTAGAGAAACAATTTAAGCTCAATTTAAATGTATTTGTAAGCACTTTGCACATTAAATGTTGTTTCAAACAGGCTTATAACACAAATTAACTTTTAGAAATAAAAAATGTTTTAGTATTCTTTTTAAATAAACCTATAGGCTATATGTAAATATATAAACTATATAAATATTACATAAATTATAAAACTATATACATTTTTTATTTGTTACTCTTAAAATACTTTTAATATTTTAATAAAAAATGTATCCTCTCAGTGGACCTCCAAGAACCACATTTAAAATAAATAAATAAATATGACTCAAGTATCTAAATGTTTCTGCTGAATATAAAACTCTATATAAAACTATATAATACATCATGATTAACATACAAACAGGTGCTGTTGTTAAAAGACAAACCTTAAAAGGACAACCAACTTCTGAGAAAATGCATGGCTCTTTCTTTTTTGAGCTGCCCGGGTGATTATTCTACAAAGGAAACACAGAAACACACTTTAGAATTGTTCTTGTTTGTACATCCACTTTCAAGGTACAATATTCAGTAATGCACCAAAACCAGCTCTTCTACCTTTTGCCGTTTATCAGTCTTTGTCGTCTTCTTGTCGCCTGAATTGGGACATACATGCTTCTGTAAAAAAAATTAGGAAATGTCACTTTCATTAACCACAGTGATGAAAGTTTTGCTCGAATAATTTTGTGCTGCAAACTTTTCAAAACATCTCATTCAGACTTTCTAATCTTAATTTGAGGCGAGAAACACATTGCATTTGAAGCTATCTTGACTAATGTGTTGTGTTTGAAGTTTGAAGTTTAAATTCACTGGATTTCTGATCCCCCACCCCCACCCCCCTTTATTCCTCTAATCCATGTCCCGGAGTGTCGGTCCCGATGGGTGAAATGGAAAAGAAAGTAATATGGGACAGCAGTAAACACTGGAGACTCCATCTGTGGCTTAAAACCGAGCCACGGGGCTTCAAGCAAGGGCACGCTGACCCAGAACCACTCTAGCAACAACGAAAGAGGCCGAATATCTTGCACTATGGGCCTATTCGCACAACATCACCCATGTATCATACATGTATGGTTTGCACAAATATTTTGCTGTTTGTACATTGGTTTTTGAGACATATTCTATATAACTGTTTTCCAGTAAAATATCCCCCTGAGAAGCAAAATATGTGTATGTCTAGTTTTCATGGAAACTATCTAGAATTAGGTTTATTTTTATTTAATTTGAAGGATAAATCTGACCAAACGTGAGGTCGAAACAAGAAAGAAGTAAAAGAAAAAATAACATTTGAATTCTGAATTTCTTATACAATTTTGCTTCCAACAAAAAGGCATCTTGCTTTAAGCATCTAAATTAATTTCGATAGATAAACAATACAAAAATACTGATTAGGAAAATCATTTGTGTAGCGTATACAGTCTCTAAAGTGTCATTTTCTAACCTTACCTGGAGTTCTCTTGGTGTCAGGACACCTGCACAAGAGGGACATGTGGTCTTGTTGTTGGGACAACCTCTGTCCAGATGTGTAGCCAATGACTTCCTCTGCACCATTATGCCACAGCCAATGTTGCAAGGGATCAGGGCATATTCACACTGACTCTGATGGTCCTGTTAAATGAGCAATTGATTAATTAATCTAAATCTAAATCTGAATGCATTTTTTTCTGTGGAAAACAAAAAGATTCTTGTCATCCAAGAATCTTCATGCAGTTCTTTTGCATGCATGGACAATTCATAATGACTATCCAAAAATGTCTATCCAAAGAAAAAGCAAAACACCACGCCAGTTCAATTTTAGTGAATATTTTTGTCTATTCCTCACATAGATTTATTGTTTGTCTTATTAGGTTATTGTTAAACTTATTAAGTTATTTTTATACTTTAGTAATGGTGTTTAGAGCTTGGCGGTCACTATAATCTGCCATTGGATGAAAAAAATGAAGATATATATATATATCAGCATCTATCTTTTTTCTTTTTCATGTGGGTATAATATTTAGTATTGTCTTAGCTATTCATTGCACAGTGATTATAAGCCACAAAAATTATCATAACATACAATTACTGCCAAAACCGAAAATAAAATCATGCCAACCATAAGTGCGGTTGTTCTACTTGAACGGTTCTCTTACCTGACCAGCCAGTTGACGCACGCGAGGCAGTAGCGGTGCCCGCACACCGTTTGACGCGCTTTATTCAAGACATTATTACAGTTGCTGCACAAGTACTTCTCCTTCGGGACCTCATCGCAGATGCTCTGAGGGAAACCCGACGGGTACTCGTTCTCATCCGGTGTGGACGAACCCCCATTTAACGACGGGTCTGAAACAGCTGATCCAGAAGCCATTGAAGTTTTATGAACTGTCTGTACCAACAGCAACTTATGATGACATATTGATATGCTTATGACTTTTTTCGTGATATAGGTACCCACGGTAGAAAAACACCACGGGGTTCCCCCTCTTCAAACACCCGGAAATATTTTTGCGCTGGTTTTCCGCCCACTTATCAGCCACATTGTTACGGATTTTGATAATAATAATTGGAAAAAGTCTACAAAATAATAAGAGATAGGAAAAAAAAGCTGTGGAGTTATTGTTAAATGATAAGTGAACCTGATAGAAACGCGTTGTGGCCGTGTCTTCAAACCTAGTAAGCGTACTAAAAGAAAAAGAAAAAGCAGAAGTGCTGTCTAGGTAAGCGGCTCACTATCTCGACCCCGCCTACAGAGTGTCCACGTAGGCTATATGCTCAAAGGAAGTGACCTCCAGGTGTTTTATTTTATTTTCAGCTGTTTAAAACACAGTTATGGCATTGAGAAGCTAAAACAGCCATACTCGATGCTGTAGCCAAAGGCTGACATGACAAGATAAAACAATTAAACCTATAGTGCAAAAACGCGTTCTAAAGTGAACGCCACTATGAGTTCCAAAAATATTCGTGAATAAATATTTTCTGTGAATAGATATTTGCAATGAATACATTTCACTAAATTCGAACTGTGTGACCCAAAACCTCCCGGATTCGTAATGAGCCGAGAACCGATTTCCCGTAACTACAGCAGTGTCATTTAGGAGCGCACCAACGATGCCCGAAAGTGTTGTCTAGGTAGGAAGCTCACTAGGTGTTGAGCCGTATGATTGAGCCACAGCCTCGCAGCCTTTCCGCCTCTCTCTCTTTCTCAGAATTTGGCCGTCATATCCGCAACACGGAAAGTCCCAGATTTGAAAAACGAACTGCGGTTCTAATGTGGTGGACACGTTTCACGGCTGTTTTTATTTTTCATTTTTCATGTTTCATGCTCACCAGTCTCTCTTAATCATGAAAGTGGCGTGTCTGGCACGTCATAAAGAGAGAGAAACATGTATACTGCTATTACTTAAAAGTGACAGTTTCTTAGATATTTAAATACTCTTCATCCTGCTTTCCTATTTTGATAATCATGCTTGACCTTGGCCTTATTTCATGTACTGTATATATATATATATATATATATATAAATGATAGGTAATAATAAAGTAGTATTATTAATATTGATATAATTGATATGATAATAACAGTATAATCTATTGAATAACAGTAAAATGTATTAAACATATATTAATCCTTGTGTATTATCATTATTTTTATACTACTCTATTAAATAAAATGAAGCCTTCTTGCAAACCAGTGAATTTAATCATGTGCTGTTTATTTCTGTTTGTAAAATGAAGCAATTCTTAATGAGATTTTGACCAAAAATGTGGTTCTTCTGGTGATGAATAACACAGAAACCATGCAGTGAGACACTTTGCTGTGTCATTTATTCTCTGTAGAATTCATCATGTTTGAATCTCTGACCTTCAGGCTTGGAATATTTGACTACATAATTGTCCTAAAGACTTAATGCTTCAGTTAAAGGGATAGTTCACCCAAAAATGAAAATTCTGTCATCATTTGCTCACCCTCGTGTCGTTCCAAACCTGTATGAGATGCTTTCTTATGTTGAACACAAAATAAGATATTTTGAAGATTGCTGGTAATCAAACAATTGGTGGTTGCCATTGACTTCCATAGTATTTTCTTTCCTACTATGGAAGTCAATGGCAACCACCAACTGAGCGTGAGTAAATGATGACAGAATTTTCATTTTTGGGTGAACTATCCCTTTAAGCACCATCCACTCGCCTAAAGAATATACAATTGGTCTTGTTAATCATATGAACATCATTTCATTTCAAGACAAAGTGGAAAAACCCTCAGAAGACCCTTGCATTTGCTCACTACTCAGACAGGAATCTCCCATTTAAATAGCAAGAAAAGAAAGTCACAAAAACTTCACAGTCAGACTAGTCATAGAGCTTACGGTCACATTTCCTTACTGTACAACGGGTCCCAGAAGTTTTTTTTCTTTTCATTTAAACCTGTAAATGTCATGCGTTGCCAAATATTAATTTCGAAAGCCGCAGATAATTGCTGATAAATAGTGAATGATGGTCCGTGGAACGTTATGAGACGATACATATAAATCTTAAACTGAGCCAAATCAGAAGCCGATTAGATGATAAGAGTGTGAGGGAAAGAGAGCAAGGGAAATCATTTTTGCTAAAGAGGGCAGTCAGGGGGGTTTCAATATCTGGTTGAAGGGATTAATGACTTGGGTAAAACTATTCACCTCTACATGGGACATTCTTCACCTCAAATCAATTACTCTGTAATAGGAGAGCAGGGCAATACTGGCCTGTTTTTCATTAAACAGCAATCACATGAGGGACCAGTGCATCAAAATGACTGCAGCAGGTTGCTGGTGAGGGGCCCGAGAGGTTTCTGTGAAAAAAGAAGATGTTTGTACCCTCATGAATCACTGTGAGAAGATGCAATTCAATAATACAGAAACCTCATGATGCAAAAGCTTAAAATGCGATGGGCCTTATCGATCGGGCTGGTCGGGAGGCCTCAAATGGCATCTAGTGTGCTGGAAACAGAGAGGCGAAGTATCGGGCAGCATCTTCTGTAAATCTGTCTGGGTGGAAGACAAGTATGGGCGTGAGGATATTGGGGGGTGGAGATAAGGAGCCAGATGTGTTTATGACTTGCTGAGTGTTGAATATCTGAAGCGTTCCATCAGCACGCCTCTCGCTTCTAATGCATCCCTCATTGGTTTTGGTCCTGAGTTCTGCTGAGTAGATGCACATCATTCTAACACTTCCTGAAACACAGATACTGCAACTGTGTTCTTGGAAGAACCTGCAGAGTCATTCTCTTTCACCACACGTAACAGATAATACATGATTGATTCTCACAAAAACAAATAGTCATGAATGTGAGGACCATAGTGAAAGACATTTATTTGATAAAAATACATTTAAAACAGTAATATTGTGAAATATTACCATTTTAAAATGTGTTCAAATTCGATAATAATAAGAACTATTATTAATAACTGAGCACCAAGAATAACTGACAATAACTGAGCAGCAAATCAGCATGATTTCTGAAAGATTGACACTGAAGAGCGGAGTAATGATGCTGAAAATTCAGCTTTGCATCACAGGAATTCATTACATTTTAAAATATATTACGATATAAAACACTTATTTTAAAATGTAATAATATTTCACAATTTTAACTGTATTTTTGATCAGATAAATGCAGCTTTGATCAGATGAAAAATTAATTAAAAGAGTAAAACCTTTGGATATTGGATTTTTAGTGTTGCTGCAATAGAGTTTTTGCTGTTATTGTTTTACAAGGTGTATTGGCAGATGTTCTTCAGTTTTAATAGAATTTAGTGTGAAATGTCCCTTTTGCAGAGCTAGTAACCTTTTCAAAAATTATTGTTCTATTACTAAGGGACTTTCCATTAATCGTGTTAGGAGGGTGAAGTAAATAATACACAGTAACAGGTCCTATCGGTGTCATTTACTGGGTGTCACAATTTTAATAAATATAATTTTAAATAATTGAATAATAAACAATGACTTGGAATATCAACTCAACGAATATGGGCAATATGATTTTTTTTTTTGCATTATTTTAATTGTTGAATACAATCAAAAGCCCAATATCTGGAAATACAAAGTCCCAAAAAATAGACAGGTTATTTCTATTTATATATGTATGTTATCTCTTTCTTTTTTCTTTTTACTCTATCTAGTGGTTGCTTTTCATGCTAGCTTAATTTTATGTTACATAATAGCCACACATCAAGCACATCAAATACAGACACTAATGCTCTAAAGTAATGGGACACAAAATTCATGAAAAGTGCCTTAAACAATGCAAACTCCTAAAAAGCTGTCTGAGCTGTTTCACATCCAGTCTTAAGCATTTCAGGATTTATGAAGTTCTGTTAGGAAATAAAAAAGTTAAAAAAAGGAGGCTGCTGTCATCTTATGAAAATGAATGTTGCATGATTGCTGGATATTAACCATTTTCCTTTCCATAGGAGAAACACAGAAAAAGGCTAAATGTCTCCATTCCTCCATTTAATGTCATACGTTTTCACGACATTCTTGAAACATCCATCTCTTGAGAGACTCATTATTCCATCTAGGCCTGAGATTGTCACATTTGCAAATATTTAAAAGCAAGGCAAATGTGACAGTTGCAATATTCACATTAAAAAAAAGCTTTACCTAGGGATCTATTCTTGGCCTACCTAGTCAATTACCAGCTAATGAGCTGACCTCAGCTGACATTCACTCCCAAACTGCTAAGGTGGAATTAGTCTACTTCTTCTGTCAGAGGAAATGCCCCAGTCACACTGTAAGAGAGTATGTTAGAAACTGTGGATGTTTATTAAATGTCACACTGAACACATTTTAATGATCAACAAAAAATACTGCAAGTACAAGACCTAAAAATGGAACATGAGTCCATCGTAATTTCCAAAATGTAGCGGAGCATACCAAATGTTAATAGTGTACAGCAGATCTGCGTTCTCTTTCATAGCTGGTCAGAAGGATGGGTTTGTAGGTTTGGGGATGTTAGGGAGGGCAGGATGTGTAGAGAAAGGAAAACGTCCTCTTGTCATCCTGGGGAGTTGTTATACTGCAAGACATGCTCAATTTCACGGTTAAATTATTTACATGGATGACTGGCAAGTGCCGTCAGCAGACAGGTGTAGTTTGAGAGGCCATCGGCAGGGGTTTCCTGAGTTCCAAGAAGTTCACAGAAAGCGACTGGGGCCATGAACTGAGAATCTGTCATTTCAAAAAAGCAGTTGCTGTCGCACTTTCTCTCCTTTGGCGCAACAAAACCATTCTCAGTCCATATCTTACATTTATCAGGTTCATACCCAAAAAGAACAACATTTCTTTTAAAATACCTGTGGAGAGCAAGGAAAACATGGCGGGATGAGGTGAGGTGTATTTTATTGGCCCTCCTACGGTTTCCAGAGAGAACTGACTGACGTGAAACTCAATCTACATTGAAGCGTTCATCTTAAACAATTTCACCTCACAGAAACACCTGTGGTTCACTTTATTGAGTGAGAATGTGTCACAAACCTGATCAAAACTCATCCGTTTGGTTGGGCTGTGACAGCTGTTCGCTCTGTTGTAGTTTTGAGCTTCTCTGACGGTGGTGAATTGGTTTCTCATTAGGGGTTGGCATTGAAGTATATTCTGTAAATTGGCCATTGAAACATGGGTGAACAATAAAGCAGGTTGATATCGAAATGCTTTGCATTTTTAAAATACTCTGTGGGATTAGTTATCCTTTAATTAATACAACTTTTTTTTAAATTCCTTCCAGTATAGATACAAAACTGATGGTAAAACATTTCGAAACCGAAAGGACTATTTTGATGTTGCTGTTTAAAGTGCAGACAATGTTCATCTTTGACAGGATAATCAATGTACACATTAAATATAAAGCTACAAATGAAGTTATGAAGATGATTTTCACATTCTAAACACTGGGTCAGTTAACATGGATATCGCAGGATAAATGGCATTAGTGTACAAATAAAACAGCAGGTTGACAAGTTCAAAACTGTGTTATCAAAACTAATACAAAGACATATAAAACACATGTAAGTGGGTAAAAGGACATTGCAAGTGGATTGCATGTAAAGGTAACATGTTCATTGTCAGTGCTATAAATTAAATGAAAGAAAGAAATTAGTGAGTCAAGTCAGCATATGTAAAAAAGTAAACAAATACAAACAGATAGAGAAGCATTGAGAATAGTTTACCCAAAAATCAGTGATATCAGTTACACTCACCCTCATGATTTTATACAACAGTTAAATAATGCAAAAATACTGAGCAACTTACATTTTACTCAGACTGTATTGGCAGATACACTGAAAAAAATCTTTCATTCCCTAAGGGCAAGTTATTTATTTTTCATTGGCTCAAGTTAAAAAATATAGTTGTGAATCATTACCCTACATTTTTTTAATTGGATGAATGAAACATTTTTTTCAGTGTAGGCCTACTTTAGTTTTGCATCATCAATGAAAATAGATTCAAAGTCAGAACAGAACCTTTGCACTTCTCTGGGCAACACACTTTCTGAATGATTCATTATTTTGAACAAATCAGTAAATGATTCAGCAATTTGCTCATAAAGAGTATTTTTTTTATTGTTCCTGAATTAATCAGCATATTTATGAACAAATCAGGTGAGTAAATGATTCAATGATTCACTCGTAAAGATAAAATGTGCTTTATCACCACCTACTGGTGTAACAATGTAATGTACAGAAAGAGTCACGCAATTTGCTCATAAAGAGTATTTTTTTTATTGTTCCTGAATTAATCAGCATATTTATGAACAAATCAGGTGAGTAAATGATTCAATGATTCACTCGTAAAGATAAAATGTGTTTTATCACCACCTACTGGTGTAACGATGTAATGTACAGAAAGAGTCACTGAAGAATCACACACACGCACACACACACACACACACACACACACACACACACATGAAGAATCACACACACGCACACACACACACACACACACACACACACACACACACACACACTTGTTATACTTTTATAAAATATGTGTGCTTTAAATACCTAAATGCAATTTAAATCTCGACACTTTGCATTTTAGGGTAAACTATTCCTATAAGCAAAAGATTTTGAGAACTTCACAATTTACCTGAAACAAATGCCATTAAATTAATACATGATCATATACTGGTGGCAAACTAATGAGCTACTAAATAAGCTACTGAAATGATCAGCAGGATGATCTGACAATTAAACCAGAAGGGTCAGTCTGTTCACAACAACAACAACAAAAAAGTTCAGTTCTCAGATCTTCTCCAAGATTAAGCCTTAAAGCTCCGTCAATCCATCTCATCGTGATTTCAGGTGAATCTGACCTACTGTGCATAAGATAAAATCCAACACTCTTCTATCCGCCAGTAACACCAAAGGGTTATTGTGTTTTCTGAGAGACGTTCAGCTTCTCCATTGATAAACCTTCCACCGACTGACCTGTCAGAGTGAAAAATGCGCCTGTACTGGCCCATCACTCTGAAAGCCACCACTGTGACACATATTCTCTTTGAGCATCTCTGGTGGTCAATAACATATTTACTCGACATGTGGGAAAATCTAGTTACCTCCCAGATATTACAGCAGGGGCTGGACACACCAATAGCAACCTTGTCATGTTTAACTACAAGTTATTGATTAAGCACTGAACGAAAATAACATAGGACAAGCTGCCTCTCTGTCGGATGTCTGAAGAGTTAAAAGTCTTTATTTTTATGAAAAGCTACACGTTCTTGCTAAATTTCACAGCTACAGAAGTATTTTTTGTTTGTTTTTATTTTTTATTTTTTTTAGACAACGACTATCGATTTTTTTTTCATTAGTACATTTTTGACAATACCTGCAATGTTTCGTAATAATATTCAGAGATGTGAACAGTAGAACAAGAGAAAAACATCAGCCCATTCGGCATTAGCACAAACACTACAAGATGGTGGGAAAACGGGAATTGAAAGATGAATAAAAACAGAAACATGAGAAAGAGGTTGTCGCTGGAAAGTTCTTGCGTTTCTGCATTGAGTGTCTCTAACACCTACAGCCCTCTTTGAGCTCTTCTAGTCAAGTTTTCTAGTTCTCACTCATTTATTCTCCTCCTTGGTTGGCCTAATCTTCATCTCGGAGAACTTCAGCGAATACTGCCAACCCGTCCAGGACGACCACTCGATGCCGTCGGCATACGAGGTGTGTTGGCCGCGCAGGTACTGTCCGTTGAGGTTGGAGGTGTGGCAGTTGCGGTACCACCAGGCGCCGTGGTAGAAGGACGCGCAGTTATTCTCAGAGTGGTCGTTGTCCTTGTCCTTAGTGGTGAATTTCATCCCGTTGTGTTTGAGCAGCGAGTCGCCTGCAGCGTCGGATCAATGCGTGATGGAAAGACAGATTGAGAAAGACAGAGGAAGGGTGGAGGAGTGAGCATGTGAGAGACGGGGACGGCGAGAAAAAGAGACAGAAACAAAAGAACAAGTGAGTCACTCAACCACAACGTCTTTGTTTATCCGTGTCATGGAAAGTTTAGATTACTGCAGTAAAAAGGAACACTGTTTCAACAAATAAAAGAAGTTTTGTTCCAACCTTGCTGTCTACAGTCTACATCGTAACCATCATGCTAACTCAAATGGAACCTTAAAAAAAAGTGTGGTAAATATAAAAATACACAAATATTGGGGGGGAAAAAGTACATTTTTAATTTAATTGTATAAGTGTTTTTTTTTTAAATAATTTTCCCTCCTAAATTGATTGCAAAATATTTTTGTATTTTACATTATAGAGCTAAAAAAGAAAAACTAAGCAATACTCATAATCAAGTGAACGGGAGTATGAAAGCAAGCTAGTTTCTATTGAACTTTATTGATTTCAACAATCCTGTGCTTGAAAACTATAGACAAAGTTATTTATTTATTTTTATAGTGTTATTAATATAACACTGTTCAAAAGTTTGAAGAAAAAAGTTTTTTTAAGCAATTAATATTACAGCAAAGGATTCAATAAATTGATCAAAAGTGACTTTTACATTGATACAAATAAATAATTTTAATTAAATGCTATACTTTGTATCTTTTATCTTTATATAAGAGTCCTGAAAAATAAATTGCTGTTTCCACAAAAATATTAAGCAGCACAACTGTTTCAACACTAATAATAATAAGAAATGTTGAGCACCAAATCATATTTCAACAAATAAAAGAAGTTTTGTTCCAACCTTGCTGTCTACAGTCTACATCGTAACCATCATGCTAACTCAAATGGAACCTTAAAAAAAAGTGTGGTAAATATAAAAATACACAAATATTGGGGGGAAAAAAGTACATTTTTAATTTAATTGTATAAGTGTTTTTTTTTTAAATAATTTTCCCTCCTAAATTGATTGCAAAATATTTTAGTATTTTACATTATAGAGCTAAAAAAGAAAAACTAAGCACTACTCATAATCAAGTGAACGGGAGAATGAAAGCAAGCTAGTTTCTATTGAACTTTATTGATTTCAACAATCCTGTGCTTGAAAACTATAGACAAAGTTATTTATTTTTTATAGTGTTATTAATATAACACTGTTCAAAAGTTTGAAGAAAAAATATTTTTTAAAGCAATTAATATTACAGCAAAGGATTCAGTAAATTGATCAAAAGTGACTTTTCATTGATACAAATAAATAATTTTAATTAAATGCTATACTTTGTATCTTTTATCTTTATATAAGAGTCCTGAAAAATAAATAGCTGTTTCCACAAAAATATTAAGCAGCACAACTGTTTCAACCCTAATAATAATAAGAAATGTTGAGCACCAAATCATATTAGCATATTAGAATGATTTCTGAAGGATTATGTGATACTAAAGATTGGAGTAATGGCTGCTGAAAATTCTGCTTTGAATCACAGGAATAAATTACATTTTAAAATATGTTCAAATAGAAAACAGTTATTTCAAATTGTAATAATATTTTACAATATTGCTGTTTTTACTGTATATTTGATCAGATAAATCCAGTCTTGGTGACCAAAATAGGCTTCTTTCAAAAAAAAAAAAAAATTATATATATATATATCATAGTCATTATTGCATTTATATTTGCTTTTTAAAGCCTTCATAAATCCATAAAATCCAATTGTTTAGAATAGTGATGCTAAAACACTGCTTATAGGCTCATATATTGAGGAGCAAAACATTTCACAATCACCTTGGTATGTTTATAGCTGCATACTGACATTGTGATGAGGAGAGAGAGCGAAACTAAAGAGAGGAGCATGTTAATGTGCTGCCGCTAATGTGCTCTTATTAAGCTGAGCTCTGTGATGTATGTTTCAGGGACATAATGTTGCAGTGTGCAGCTAGGCTAATCTAAACCAAGTTTCCTGCCTCCATGCCACCCGGCTCCACTGGGCCCAGCCTTGCTGACAAGATCAACCTTTTATTGCCAGCCTTGCAGTAAAACCCTTCTCCTGTCCTCTTCCTCTCACTCTATTGCTACTCTACTGCAACATGTATCGTGATAGCCGTTTTATTGGGACAAAGGAGATCCAATTGATGCCGTTATGTCATATTGTAAAGTGTGTTACACATCATAAACTCGTTTCGGTTGCCTCATAGATTCATCATTGTGGTCTAGCAGATAACGAATCAGCAGGATGATGGTGGTGTAAAATGACAGTGCCTGGACTGTGAAAGGAGAGCTAATGAACAGATGTGGAGATGTTGCCTGCAGAAAAATGACACATGAGCTGGCTTTACTGGCTTTACCTTGTTTTCAACATGTATAAGAAGGTCATTTATGGTCTTTGGCTGTCTCAAGCTGGTTTAAGCTGTACTACATGGTCTCCCACCATGGCTAAGATTTTGGTTCCCATTGACTTCCGTTGCATTTTGTGTCCATAAAATAGAAGTCAACAGGAACCAAAACTGTTTGATTTGGACATTCTTTTAAGATCTTCACCCTCATGTTGTTCTAAACCTGTATGACTATTTTTTTTCCAGGAATCAAAAAAAGGTTATTTTGAAGAATGTTGGTAACCAGTTTCGGTTCCCATTGACCTTCATTGTATTACTAACATTCTTCAAAAGATTTTCTTCAAAAGACAGAAAGTCATACAGGTTTGGAACAACATGAGGGTGAGTAAATAATGACAGAATTTTCATTTTAGGGTGGATTATCCCTTTTAGCCATTTACAGTCAGCAGGTCAAAGCTGGTTTAGATAATTAACTGGAGCATGTTGGTCAAGCTCGTTAGAGCTGGTAGAACACTTTGGAACAGTAACAAGTTCCAAACTAACTATCATAATCCAAAAACAAACCAGAACAAGTCAGTTAACTGTGGTCAGTTTAAACGAGGTTAAACTGGTTTAAGATGCAAAATGCCCCAAACCACTCGAAAAAAACATAAAAACAGACCAGTCTAATGAGCTTTGGAGACTTGCTAACCTTCTTAAACTGGTTTAAAGAGATAGTCCAATTGAATTCTGTCATCTAATCAAATCAAAATTCACTTACAGTCATTATCTCGTCAAAGTTGGTGTAGATGGTTAACTGAACCATGTTGGTCAAGCTGGTAGAACACCTTGGAGTAGTAACATGTTCTAAACTGGCTATCATGTTATAAAAAAAATAAAAATAAAATTACACTTCAAGCTGGTACAATGTTGTCAACTTAAACCAGTTGGCTTAGCTGGTCAGCCAACTGAAAAATGCCCAAAACTACTCGAAAACCAAAACAGACCAGCCTAATGAGCTCTGGAAACTAGCTAGCTAGCTCAGGCTGGTTTAAAATCATTCTTTCAGCAGGGAAAGCTGCTTGAAGGATATCCTTTACTCTCTCTCTCTCTCTCTCTCTCTCTCTCTCTCTCTATATATATATATATGAACAAATCTTAACAAGCTGCCTCTGCAATAGTAATATGTTGTAATATTCATAAAGTGTTAAATTTCAAACAACACTGAAAAAAAATCACTTGCTAGAATGAGATGATTAATCATTGCAGTAAATTGCAGATTCTGTGCAAAACAGATCTCACAATTTGTACACCTGAGGGGTTGTGTAGCGTGTCAGCATGAAGGTGCATCTCAGACTTTTATGAAATATCTTGAGACAGACCCACACAGGAGGGCGATACGAGTCATTAGCTATGCGCATGAATGCATAATCGTGTTAATGCCGAAAAACACTGCAACATCAGAGAGAAATTATACACTCCTCTACTTGGACAAGCATTGTTACAAAATAATCAAATGCTCACATGCAATTTCACTTCTTACTCTGGCCTCGCTAATGGTAGTGAAAAAATGTCTGTGTGCTAGCAAAACTGTCATTAGTGTGCTTTGAAGTTGGTACTGTATTAGCACTCAAAGTGTTTACATAGAACAGGGCATCATGGGTGTAAAAACTCATCTCAGGTAATTATATCTTCCCAGAGATCCCTGCTGTGGCTGAGCGCTCTTTCTCTACGCTATCGTAAAGGCCTTTCATTAAACAGATCAGCATTAAAGACAGCATGCTTGTGCACTGAAAGCAGTTATGATATGAAAATTCTAGCATGCAAGAAAAGGGTGTGTGAGGCACACATTTACACCAAAAGATCTTTTTTTTATCTCAGCTGCAAAAAACATCACAGTAATGCATGAAAAATAGAGGATTCTGGGGTATGGCATGATCAAAATCTCCACAGAGATGCACTGTCGTATTGAAATAATGTCATATCAAATCGGTACTTCAGCATCAACACACAATCGCTAAAACACTTTCCGACAGCCTATCTATCTATCTATCTATCTATCTATCTATCTATCTATCTATCTATCTATCTATCTATCTATCTATCTATCTATCTATCTATCATTTTAGATAATAGTAGGCTACATATTTAAAAGGAACTGAATGTTTAAAAAATATTATGGTCGAAGTTGGTCAAGATGGTAAACTGAACCAAGCTGGTTCAGCTGGTAGAACACCTTGTACCAGTAATGTGTTCCAAACTAACTTGAACACCTTAAGCTGGAACAATATGGTCAGTTTAAACCAGATTATGTCCCAAACCACTTGAAAATCATTAAAACCTAAATTAAAATGCTATATCAGCAAGTTTTCTTACTCCATTGTTAATATCAGATAAATGGATACTTTGTGTTCCGAGAAAGTGCATCAGATAAAGTGAGAATATATTAAAATCCTGCTGTTTGGTGAATTCGAAGCTGCCTGCCACATTCAATTGTTTTCATCTGATCTATGGCCACGATGTGCCTTTTACCAGTGACCTTGTGACAGAATTTTTCCTTTCTAATTTCTGTGATGGTTGGACTCTGAGGAGGGACGTGCTATTTGTCTGACAAACCGTTATTAAAGGTGTCAAGGACACCTCACAATGTTGCCCTCTAGGAGCCACGGTTTGGGCCTGCGAAGTGTGTTTTGGTCTTTATTTCTTTTTGTTTCTCAGCTGCTGTTTTGTTCCACACTACTGCCTACTCTTGAAAAAATGGCTGTTTTGATTTCATTGTGCTAAAACATTCAATCTATGTTGATCTCTCTCAGCATTTCATTCAAAACTAAGTTTCATACTTGAGCAAGCACAGCTCAGACGAAAAATCTAAATGTGATTTTAATGCTTACAGTCAGTCCAACCTACCATTCATGTACACATTAATGCTTTATACGACCATGCGTGCATTTTAATCCAGACAGCGGCGTAAGAGTCCAAACAAGACGTAATTGATAAGATTGGGAATCAATGTGGCATGACTCCTCCAGCGGGGGATGTTTAAGACAGCCTCGCTAATTAGACACGTGAATGCAGTATTCTCCTCTTGATTTATGTTAATAGGAGTGTTTGTTTACGTCTCCCATAATAAGCCGAGTGTCTGCTTTATTGGAATGCCATAGATGTATTCTACGGCTTCATTATCCCTGCCCTTTCTGGCACATGGCGAAGGTCATGCCTGTGTCCGGCCCCAGCGAAGAGGGCAGTGCTCGGGGAGAAACACCTGAGAATAATAGCGAGCAGGACCCAATTAATGTTAAAAAGAGGCCCCGGCGACAGCGCAGGCGAAGCAGTGAGAATTGCTCATCACTTCGCCTCGGTGCAGGCGATAACCTACGGCCCCCATTGCTTTGCATGCAGCAGGAATATATCTAAACACCGCTGACAACAGGGCAGGAAACTTTAAATTAGTCTTGTGATTCTCATGATAGTTTCTATTCTTGTTTCGAATACAAACACTTTGCTAACACACACACACACACATATATATATATATTTATACATGTGACCCGTGCTGGCAAAACAAGAGAAAAATGTCAATTTTGGTCAAATTTGCATCTGACGTTTTGGTTTCAGTTTTGAAAGGAACATGCAGGAATGAGAATATAAAGTGCAGGACTTGATTGAAGTTAAAAGAGTTATTAAGAGAGATAAGCCGTGAAAAGGATCTTACTCGTGCTGACTGACACATCTGAAGCGTGCACACAAAGACGCCTCTCAGACAGCGTGCAATCCCGATATACACATGCACACAGAATTACAGTATTTCAAAATATCTGTCTTGGCAAGTATTCATGCAAACATAATCCGTTTTATCTTAAGTGAACGTTTGGTTAACTGTTGGGGGAAAAAATCTGATGTGTAACATAATATTAGATCTGTCCATTACAGTAGGTCTTAATATATAGGCCGTCTATCTCAATGTTAATCCAACAATAAAAGAAAAAAGGGAATCACTTGCTGCTCTAGACCGAACTACTTTATTTGTAATGAAAACTCTAAAGACTATGCAGTGATTTTTTACATTTGATTATTTGTTTTTCTTACTTGAATGAATCTACAGTTTATTTGCATCTTTGTTCTTATTTTTAATAACAAAGATAATATAACAAAATAACTATATTATGATTAATATAGTAATTATAATTAATAAAAGAATTGGGAGGAAAATATGCATTGTGATGCATCAAGAATCGTTTAATAATCAAATTGTTACCCTCTGAATCGTAATCGAATCGAATTGTGAGGTAAGTGAAGATACACCCTTCTAGTCACAATAACTTCTTGTGTGATTGGTCAAAACACCCCACGCGGTGCATTGTGGCATCATGGGATTGAAGGGGCACGAGTTGTGGGGGGGTCGTCATGTGACACACAGCCACAACAGCACTTATGTTTTATTTATTTTTTCCTTTTTATTCGAAACATCCCCAAATGCATTAACTATATCATGAAATATCTTGATTCTCCCCTTTATAGATTATGTTGATCTATGATGGTCAAAGTAACCTAATAATGTAATCTATTAAGTATGCATAAAAACCTGTCTGTTTACTAGCGCTGCACGATAAATCGCATGCAATATTTAATGCGCATCTTGTCAGTAAAGCTCGTTCTGTAATCAGCGGTAAATCTCCATCATGTGCGTGCTTTCACATAGAGCAGCATTTACTACACAGAGCCGTTGTTCACTGACAAGCTCCGCAAAACTACGATCATCAGCTTGTCAGTGAACAACGGCCTTAACATTACAGTATAATTGAGAGCTAACAATTTGAACGTTTATTAGATTTAAAAAAAATAACAACTTCTAATTTAAGTGAACTTAAATCAATCTTCACATAAACCCATTATAATAAATGTCATATTTACCTGTGTCCTTCAGCAAGTAGGAAATATACAGAAATTGAATAATGTTGTCAAACACTAAATTCTAAATTAAATATAGATGAATCCTTAAAGCTACAAAAGTTATTGATTTCCTCTTTTTTCTTTTATTCGTTGATTTACAGACATCACAGCAGTTGGGTTATTATGTTATTTTGGCTGCTTTCAGAGCTGCCGCTGCTGAACATGATGCAGATCTGACACGCATCGTATTTTCTCACAACTCTGACTAAAAATGTTCTCACAAATCTGACTCATATATAACAGATACTTACATGCATGCACAGTTTTAAGGCAGTTTTATTCGCCTTATATTTGCTGGTGAAATAATCACTACATATTACTTTTACGTTGAATTAATTTTCATCATAAATTGTTTTAATATTTGTATTTTATTTTTTATTTTTTTGCAAGATACTGGTGGTGATATTTCTGATTTATGCCCCTAAATGGGAAAAAAATAAAATTTGTAATGAAACTGGACACAAAAAAATTTCAATTAAATTGTCTCTTATGGTCTAAAGTGGATGTTCTTGGTCAGAATAATCTGTCAAAAGTCTGTCTAGGCGAGACTACATATCAACCGAAGAGCTTTTACCAGCGTTTACTTGAGGCTCCCCATTAAACCTGACATGAACTTTGGCTTCAGACATCAATGCAGGTTCACGATTGAATTGCTGTTGTGCAGGATGTCTTAAGAATACAGAGCTTTAAAAGCAGGACACTATGACCTATGACTTCCTGTGAGACCTCTGCCTTTGCAATAAATGTAATAGTTTTTGGCTCCACACTGCAGGAACTCTCGGTAAAAGGCAGAATAATGTGTATAGCATACCTGCTGTGCCAGAGTAGTCTGCGATGCTCAGTGGGTAGCCATCCTCGTCGGGGTCAACAGAGAACAAACCCACTCCAAAAGAGCTATACTTTGCAAAGGAGGTACTGTTCTCGAAGTCCTCCAGGTCAATCCTCAGCTCATAGTTGGCTTGAATGGTAAGTGCATGGATTCGTTTCATGCCTGAAAAAGAGATTTAGATGAAGTTAATGGAGAAATGTGCAGATGAGATTTATTTGAATATACAGAAGACGGAAAGAGTGTTTGGGCAATCAGCTTCTGCTACAGACATTAATGAAACCTCAAATCATGTAACTTACTGAGGAGAGGTGTGCCAGCAACATGCTAAAAACACTCAAAACCTCTTAGCAACGACATAGCTACACCCTGGCAACCACTCAGAATGGCCGTGGCACATTTTTCACAGGAAATTTTCCAAAAAATAATCAAATAAAAAAAAAAAAAACTTTATTTAGACAGTAATGATGGATGTGTGTATGTATGTACATATAACTTATAGTGCTTATATATATATATATATATATATTTATAAATATATGTTAACAAAATTAAAACAGAAATTCAGTTGTTCTGTGGGAAAAAAATAAGCACACCCCGACTTTTTCCACAACACTTAATAAATACTCCTCCCCCATTATTTTACAGTAGATTATACAAGTTTACTCATTTGTTTTTCAATGTGACAAGAAATCAGTAGAAAACAGAATGGGTACTGGTACTTTTCTGCCTGTTAAGTTTACAGACATTTCCAATAATGCTAAAACACACACAATTCATTGTGCAATCCATAATATGGGTAAAACACCAGTGAAAACTCAACATGAAAAATATGATAAAATATCAATACACTACAATTCCTGCATATTACCATTGGGCACTCACCGGTCTCGAGTCCCACGGAGGAGCTCCGGAAGGATAAAAGGAGGAGTGATGACAGTGTTGGACCAGGCCTGGATTTTATTTTGTGTTTTGTGTATGGCAGTCGTCATTGGATGCAACATTGGATGTAACAACCTTCGTAGGTCGGGAAGAAGGAGGCGGCAACTGGCGAACATTTAACACTTTAATAAAATAAACAAACACAAAATGAAAGTAAAGCGGCAGCCCCTCGCGAACAACTGCCGCACACAAAACACAAAATAAAATCCAGGCCTGGTCCTCTCTCATCCAACACTGTCGTCACTCCTCCTTTTATCCTTCCGGAGCTCCTCCATGGAACTCGAGACCGGTGAGTGGCGCAGGTGTTGTGCATTAGCATTTACTCTACCGGCCTCGCTCCGTTCCCACAGCTCTCGGCCCCGCCCCTCTCGTCACACATATATATATATATCTGGTTACAATATAAATATACAAAAGACTCAAACACTTACATATAACTTTAGACCTAATTCAGATATAAGGCGGCAATATAAATTTAAATGGAATTCTTCATCGTTAAAGTATTTAGGGATAAACTTAACAAAAGATATATCAAAACTCTTCGTCAACAATTATGGTCTTATTTGTAAAGAGATAAAATCCGATATTGCTAAATGGACTCTGCTCCCACTAGACATGAGTAATCGTATAGAAATAATTAAAATGAATGTGTTACCACGGTTACTATATCTATTTCAGTCATTACCTCTGGACAAATCACAAAACCAATTTAATGAGTGGGATGGGATGATTTCGAGATTTGTCTGGAATGGTAGAAGACCGAGGATAAAGTTTAAGACATTGCAGTTGGCAAAAGAGAAGGGTGGGAGGGCCCTACCTTGTTTTCAGGACTATTTTTATGCTGCACAATTGAAGCCATTAATATGCTGGTGTATACCGGGTTATGAGTCTAAATGGAAAATGTTGGAAATTACACAGATAGATACACCTTTACAATCATTACTTGGGGATAAAAATTTAGCTGAAAGGAGCTACAGGAAAACACACACACACACACACACACACACACATACATACACCATGACACTTGACCATTACACCAACAGGTACTTTAATGACATTGCATTCTAAATACATAGACATTAATATTAGAGCTTAAACAGCTTCCATTCTTCTGGGAAGGCTTTCTAGATTTTGGAATGTCTCTGTGGGAATGGAATGTCTCATCCAGTAGAGCATTTGTGAGGAGTGACTCGCAATCTCCATTCCAGTTCATCCCAAAGGTGTTTGATGGGGATGAGCGGACCAGTCATGTTCATTCACACCAAACTCATCCAACCATGTCTTTACAGAGAACAGAGAAGTCACACAAAGGTGTGTTGATTCGTCACACCAAAACAGGTTTACATTGCTCCAGAGTCCAGTGCTTTACATCACGCCATCCGACGTTTGGAATTGTACATGGTGATGTGAGGCTTGCATGCAGCTGCTTGGCCATGGAAATCCAATTCATGAAGCTCCCGCTACACAGTTTTGTGCTGATATTAATGCCAGTGGAAGCTTGGAACTCCAGCTATGGAATCAGCAGAGTGTTCGGCGAATTTTATGCAACATGCCTCTCAGCACTTGGTAAACCAGCTCTGTGACTTTACGCGTCTCCCGCTTCGTGACTAAGTTGCTGCTGTTCCTAAACGTATCCACTTTCAAATAATATCACTTACAGCTGACCGTGGAATATCTAGCAGGGATCAAATTTCACAAACTGACTTATTGCAAAGACATCCTATCACAAGCACCATGTTTGAATTCACTGAACTCTTCAGAATGACCCATTTTTTCCACAAATGTTTGTAAATGCAGACTGCATGGCTAGATGCTTGATTTTATACACCTGTGGCAATGGGTCTGATTTAGGCTATGTCCACACGAAGCCAGAGCTTTCCCTATCCGATCTTTTTTTCCCCCTCGTCTCAAGAAATATCTGCGTCCACACGAAACCACAAAACCGACACAAAACGATGTAGTATACATGCCAGACCAGTATGTGGCGCTGTAATTCTGCCACAGAGATACACTAAAAATGGAGAAGAAGACTTGGACTATTCGCATAAACCTTGCGGGCGGTATACAAACGAACATGGAACAATACATTTATTAATCTGTGTTAATGTTAGTTAATAAAAAGACAATCGTTCAGTGTTTGTTCATGTTTTAGTTTCTGTTACGTGACGTAGCGGTGTCTGACTAGGGGCAAGACATGGGCTGATGACGTCATAGTTTCAGAAAATATACGGATTCGCTGTCCACACGAAATTGCAAGGGCAGCGTTTTCAGATTTATCCACTCTGGGACCCGTTGATTTGATTGGTTTCACTCTCCCAAAACGCTGGATCCATGTGGACAAAATGCCTATACAATACAAAATGTATGTGTATACAGCTAAACGCGTCTCAGTGTGGACGGGGCCTTAAACACCTGAATTCAATAATTAAGGGCTATGTCCCCATATATATATATATATATATATTTAATGACTACCTTTCTCTGTCTCTGAATTAAAATGTCTATACAATACAAAATGTATGTGTATACAGCTAAACGCGTCTCAGTGTGGACGGGGCCTTAAACACCTGAATTCAATAATTAAGGGCTATGTCCCCATATATATATATATATATATATATTTAATGACTACCTTTCTCTGTCTCTGAATTAAAATGTATATTGGCTCCTACACCTTTAAGAAACACCCCTTAGCATGTGAAATGTGCCTCACACTTTGAGAATCTAAAGTTATACGATAGCCCGGGTGAGAAGCAGCAGTCTATCTGCCTCCCTCCAGTCCTACAGAATAGACTAACATTTGTTCAAATGATATTGGCATAATGACAGAGATGGTTATGATGGCTGTGAATGGAGGGGGACTGTTGTGGTGCCATTCCAGCGGCAGCCGAGCGCATCATCAGGCTCTATTAAGCACCAACACCCTTCTAATGGTCTCCGCGCTGACTAAATGGATAGGCCATTTGCACTCAAAGGTCATTTCTGTTTCAACCCAGGGACCCAGAAATGTTGCACGGAGGTGCAATATATCAGAGCAGCCGTGTTAAAGACAGAAGGCTGGCTGTGCTGTTCTTCATGTAAAAACTAATGTGCGTATGATTATCTTCACCTGGCCGGGGCTTCAAAAAGCTCCAGATAACCTGATATGAGACCCAACTTTTTAGTGCTTAGACAACATTGTCTAAGACTGCATTAACATTTTAATAATTTGATAAACTAGTGCTTTCTTTGTTTTCGGATTAAGAGATGTAGTCGGAGACACTGACTCCGCAGTACTTGTGGATGCGCCTGTATTCATGTTTCATACGGATTACATAATCTGAGAATTTGTTTTCCATTTGAATTGGGTCATTTGAAAGTATACATTTCACTCTCTATAGATATTTTTAATGTCTGTAAGCCAAAGATATACACAGAGTTTTGCATTTAAGTTCACAGACCGAGACGGCAGAAAGCGCATCCTGTTTGTTTTCATTATTTTACAAAAGCGCGGTATTGTGAGTGCACACAAATAAACATTGAGTCTTTACAAATTTGAAAGTTGTATTACTCTTATCTGTATGACCAAAAATTAGGGATTATTTTAAGAGCAAGTGAGCACACCGGCGCCTCCATCTGTCCTGCAGTAAGCGAGCTGCTGTTCAGCTTCCACACAGACACTTGAATAGCGGACATTTCTTTAGGTTAACATTAGATTGATCAGCCATGTAAAGTTGCTAATACTTACATATTTCAGATGATAAGCCATATTTGAGAGGTCGATGAACAGGGGCGCATTAATGCACGGGCTTCAATGGGCTGAAGCCCAGGGGCCTACACTGGGAAGGGGGCCCACTGGCTGCAAGGAACTTTGAACGGCTATGATTGAATTAATTAAGCACGAGAACGGCACATTTCAAAATAAAAACACAGTTAGCTATCACCAAATGTCAAGTGTTGTTTCGATCTACTGATGATGAATAATTAATATTTTGTGTAATTTATGGTGTTTAAATCATACCTGTAAACTCACATTTTGGCCAGGAAAGTTTTGATGGCATTTTCTTTTCATATCACCATTGTATAATGCCTGTAATAACATAATGTTTACTTTATGTAACTGTTCCACAAGCGCCACCTTCTGGCAAAGAATGAATTTGCATATTCACTTATATTCACATTTTATGCAGAACATTGTGAATGTTAACTGGCATATCAACAAGGGAAAAAAAAATCGAAAT